GGGGGGGGGGCGGAGCGCTCTTTTCTGAGGCAAGTTCTGTTAAGAGACACCGGGGAGTCCGGTTTCCGAGTAAGCGTGTAAGGTCTCCAAACAGAACTGCTTCGCTCCGGGGCGACAGTCCCGCGCCGCCACGCACCCGGCTGGCCCACCGGTCCTTCCGGGGAGGTCTGCACACGCCTGGCCGTGAGGACCCGCCTGCCGTGAACCCTGGAGGGGGGCTCTTTCCCTAAGGGACAGGGACGCCCCGGGGATCGTCCTGGTGACGGCAAGCCCGCCTAGGGCACCGAACATCACACGCCGCTAAGCGTCGGCCCAGCTGGCATTCGAAGCTGAGGGGACATTCCCCACATTTAGAACTGTCGCGGAGACAGAGGGAGCCGCGGCCGGGCTGCCAGGGACAGCGGGGCAGGCGGGAGGTACCCCGTCGTCACTCTGCCTCCCCCGAGTCCCCAGTGCCACCCCGCAGAAATGCAGGGCTCGGTCTCTGTTCCCGGTCCCTCTGCCTTCCGGGGTGGAGGTGAACTCCCTCGTGTCACGCGACACTTGCCGAAGCTGAATTTTTAAAAGAGCTCTGCGTGTTGGCTGCCAATTCCCAACGGGCTACGTGGTCGGCCCTTCTCTTTCCAATGCAAAAAGGAAACCACGAAACAGGGTTTGGGAAGCAGCAAGACACCGGGACTCGCCGCCAGACCGTCTCAGAGGGGACAGGTCAGCAAACTTTGAGGTAACTCTCAGAGGACCACTCTCCACCCGCAGGCGTCTGGGGCAGCTCCTCTCACAGGGGAATATGTGGGGCTTCATTTGCAAGGAGCCAGGAAGAGACCTGTGTGTGTGACCTCTAGTGATAGAATGAAGTGTCCAATCTCAAGAAAAATTTAAATTAAAAAGCCAACACCAGGGGCGCCTGGGTGGCTCAGGTGGTTGAGCGTCCGACTCTTCATTTCGGCTCAGGTCACGATCCCACGGTTCGTGGGTCTGAGCCCTGAGTCGACAGCACAGAGCTTGCTTGGGATTCTCTCTGCCCCTTCCATGCTCGCACTCCCTTTCACTCTCAAGATAAATCAACAAACTTTAAAAGAAGAAAGTCAACAGGAGGGGCATGGGCCTCGGAGACCGATCGGCCTCCATCTGAGCCCGGTTCTGCTCTGCACCCTATGCAAGCTACCTCTCCTCTGTGGCCCTCAGTGTCCTCCTTGGCAAGATGGGACAGACTGTGCCCTCCCTACGTGACAAGAGACAGGTGAGAACACACAAGAATGCTCAGCTCAGGGCCCGGAACACAGAGGCAAGAGAGTTAATAGCTCTCCAGCCTGCACGTTATATACTTAGTTTTGGTCAACTCTACAACTGATTTGGTGTCTATAATGTGCACGTGGGACAAAAAGGCCACAAAGGTGGAGTAAGACCTGGAAAGGGGCACCAGGTGTCCATGCCAGTCACACAGCCAGGACTCCAAACTCATCACGCTCAGTGACCTTTCTACAATAAACTGTTCAAAAACTTAGGATTCTAGGGGCGCCTGGTTGAGTGTCCGACTTTGGCTCAGGTCATAATCTCACAGTTTGTGAGTTCGAGCCCCACGTTGGGCTCTGTGCTGACAGCTCAGAGCCTGGAGCCTGCTTCGGATTCTGTGTCTCCCTCTCTGCCTCTCCCCTGCCTGCAGTCTGCCTCTCTCTCTCTCTCTCTCTCATTCTCAAAAATAAACAAACACCAACCTTAGGATTCTGAAGGAAAAGACTGATTGGCAGGGATCCTACGTGGCTCTGGGGCCATTCCTATGCAGTCTCCCACGAGGAGGACGGGAGGCGGCAAGGAAGGGACCGGAGAAGTGTCATGGCAACAGGCCTTGCCTCCTTCCCTGCTGGCCCTGGGCTACCGGCACCTGCCTGCCTGTCTGCTGCACTGGCGCCCTTGGCTGGGGGCTAAGCAAGTCAGGAATCAGCCGGCGAGGCGGGAGAGCCAAAGCCTAGCACATCGATTGCCCCAAGGGCCTGACATCCTGGTTCCAGCACCCTTGGGTACACTGCCAGTTTGGCACGGCCATCAACCAGCCACCAAAAAAGGCTGTCCTTTTAGATAAGACCTGTGACCCCACCCCACCAGCCCAAAATCCACGTGCACCCTGTGTCTAGTCTAATTACTCCCTGCTCTCTGTGCGACCCGCTGCTTGGACGACCCGGGTGACCAGGATACACGGAACAGGTGGGATCTGAGGCTGAGAGTCCAGCCTGAGCAATCAGATAGCGGCGGGGCGGGGTGTGGCCCTGTGGAACCCACTCCAGGTCCTTGTTCACCAGGCTCAGGCCTCAATGACTCGTGTCCAGGGACTGCGTTCCACAGAAAGCCACTGCAACTGAGCAAACACAGGAATGCAGCTCCTAGCACTTCCGGAAAACGTCCCTCCGGGAGCTTTACCGGACACTGGAGCTCAACTTTTTCTGGCTGCCAGAAACCTGTAACTTGTTTTTATGACCGCGTGAGCTTATAAACCATCCCTGTTGGGGTTCTCTGGCTGCGGGGCTCCCACAAGGCCCCGGCGCTCGGGGACAGAAAGGTGCCGTGGGCTGGAGGCCGGCTCGAGAGGCAAGCCCGCCTGCAGCCCGCCCGCCGGCCGGTCTGAGACGCGGTGTCAGGACCACACCTTCTCCCGAAGAAACCCACGGAGCCCGCCGCTCCAGCGCCTGACTGCTCAGCTAAGGGAACCGAGAGACAGACCAAAGCGAAACAGGACACGTGCTCACTGTCGATGTGAAAAGCGGCAACAGAGATATGGCAACAGAAAACATATACATACTACAGGCAACAGGCGCCGCAGGCCACATGAGCTCCTGCATGCGTGACCTCCGGCCTTGCGGGTCCACGTACAGTCCCATGTGGCTGAAGCAAAGCAGGTACTCCTCGCTTTTGAGCTCCACAGCACAAAGGGCATCAAAAGACTGCTGTGAGAGGAACGTGAGCGAGGGGTCACTGGGATTTACCAGGGTTAGAGCCTGCCCGTCCCCCTGGGGGCTCAGCACACAGAACCCAGAAGGGTAGCCCACACAGAGCTTGTCTTTGATCGCGGCCATCCACTGCACGGGGCCGGGGGCCACCAGCTCATTGAACTTCCTGTGGAAAGGCCTAGTTCTCTGGACCTCATAGCAGAGGACCAGCCGCTTCACGGCCGCGAACAGGCAGGTGGAAGAGCTCTTCTTCAAGGTTGCAGTCGCTATGAGCTGGCAGCCTTTTGTTTCCGGAAGCTTGATGTCGACATTGCTCTCCGCCCCATCAAAGGCAGACCACGGACAGAGATGGACGTGGTGGTTGCGGCCGCAGAGGAGGACGGCGATTTTCTCTTTGGGAGCGAGCTCGATCTGGTACACTTTCTTGTAGTCGGCAACGCGGACGATCACTGCGGGGATGCAACGTCGGGTCTCAGAGCCGCTCGAGGGCATCCGCTCGAGGGTGCCAGGAACCTCCCCACCGCTCCCTTCCCCGCAGTCGGCGTGAAGGGACGGACGGCCCCATCGTGCTCTAGAACGTGCCTCCACCCCCACCAACCTCACTGCCCTGCAGACGCCAGGGCAGCGCCCTCCTTGAGCGGCCCCCGGGGGCCACCCTTCTAAGACTCCTGCCCTGCCCTGCCCGCCCCAGCACCAGGGCCCCAGCCTGGAAGTGGCGCTGGACGTCCTTCCAGCTCATCCCTGAGGCCAAGAACCCTCGGGTTGCATTTAGGGAACAAAGACTTGTCTCCAACCTCACTGGACCCTCAAGCTCTGCAAGCAGCTGCCAACCCCACCGGGCCCATAACATCGGGGGTATTGGATGTAGGACCTGCACTAAGGGCTCTCTAAGCAGAGCCCTGGATCTGGACCCTGAGGGACCAACGGGCCCCGGCAGGCCGGCAGCAGGTGACGTGTGTTCGCTCCGGGCTCAGCAGGAAGGGAACGCTGCCCACCCGGGAGCAGCCCCTCATTTCTAGGGGTGGTGCCCAGAGCCTGGCCCAGGGCCCAGGCCAGTGCTGGTCTCCTTGTATCTCTGTCCCCGGACACAGGGCAGTGAGGAGGGGGAGACAGGAGATGTTCTGCATTCTCCTGCCGGGCAGAACGAAATGTCAAAAATCTGAAGCGACAGAAGGGAAGTTCCTGTCAGGTCTCAGCACACGGAGGAATTCAGGAAACGTTCTTCCTTCTAGGAAGCTCCCCCACCCCCAGCTGCCTATGCAGTCCTCTCCTACACGAGCTCGGTGAGGGCCGTGAGCAGCTCACCCCCGGCCCCTGGGGCTGCTCTCTGCCCCGCACTGCACTCTGCGCTCGGAGGCACCGGTGAACGTTCCACGGCTACTAACATCTGTCTTATTTGTCGCAAACTGCTTTTCTCAGCTGTCCGCCCTTCCCTTCCTTTGCACGCTTCCCACATCACCAAATGCGTCCCAGCCCTTGCGGGTTCCTGCCATGCATCCCGCTCCCGTCTGCGCGAACCCAGGACGGACAGGAGCCCCTGTGCACTCACCATCACGGGTCACCTCTATGACATAGAGCCCTTCTTCCAGGCCGACCACGATCCTGTCCCCATCTGTCAAGGCAGGAGAGGTAAAAACACAAAGTCAGCGCTACGGGCGCGCCATTGGCTTCTCAGAGCAGGTGCGGGACTACATTCGAACGGACGACGCGGCCGTCGCCTTCGTGTGGTGGCGCGCTCAGGTCCGGCCCCGTGGCACCCCCCAGATGCGCTGCCGTCCGTGCTGGGAGAGCGCGGCCCCACGCGGCCCCCGGCACGCACCCACGACGGCGGCGCTCAGGACGGCCTTGATGAGAGGCAGTGTGCTGTCGTAGGCCTCCTGCGGGACGTGCACGATCTGGTTCCTCAAGCGGTTCTTGTGGAGGATCGACTGCAGTCCTTCTAGAATCCCAACCCACTTCCTCTTTTCGTTCTCATTTTCTGTCAGAATGAGCAGTGAGCTGGTCTTAGAAGGTGTCCCTAAGAGAGAGGCTGTCACCTTCATGACAGACAAAGAGAAGAGCCATAAGACAACCAAACCACACAGCAAACAGACGCCCCCAGCCTGGCCCGGCCACCACCTCGCACCGGAGGTGGGCAACAGGAGGGCGTGCTTCCCAGCACCGTGACTCGGGCGCCCGCGGAGGGTGTGAGGGGCTCTGCTGCCGGACACGGGCAGGGGCACAGCGATAAACAGGCACCCCGCGTCCCTTCCTTGTCAGGTTCTAGTTAACTCCACTCTTGCCAAAACCGTCATGTAGTTGTCCCATTTAAAAACTGATTTGTCGGGGCGGCTGGGGGGCTCAGTCCGTCGAATGTCAGGCTGCGGCTTAGGTCATGATCTCGCAGTTTTTGTTTTACAAGTCCTAGCCCCGCGACGGGCTTGTGCTGCCAGCTCAGGAGGGCCTGGAGCCTCGTCTGGATTCTCTGTCTGTCTCCCTCTCTCTCTGCCCTGCCCCTACTCACTCACGGTTTCTTTTTTCCTCAAAAATAAATAAAAACATCGAAAAAAACAGAAACTGATTTCTTGAATGCCCTTGTTATAATTAAAAGCAGATTCTCAGAATGTGTACAGGAAAACCAGAATCTCCAACAAAAGTGCTTTGCCCAAACATGCCTCCCTGTGAGAATCCCCTGGGCAGCTGAAGCTCCTACAGAAGGATCACCTTGTAAGCAACGGTGGCAGCTTTCTGTGTTGTACGTAAGAGGCAGTTTCTGAGTTGAAAGGAGACTTAAGGAAAGAGGCTTCCTGGATTCCATTTGGTGGTCAGCCAAACTTCTACCGTATTTATAAAATATCCCCAATGTGGGTACCTGGGGGGCTCAGTCGGTTAAGCGTCTGACTCTTGGTTTTGGCTCAGGTCCCGATTTAACAGTTTTGTGAGTTTGAGCCCCGCATCAGGCTCCGTGCTGACAGTGTGGAGCCTGCTTGGGATTCTCTGTCTCCCTCTCTCTGCCCCTCCCCCACTCACACGGTCTCTCTTTCAAAATAAGTAACTTAAAAAAAAAAAATCTTTGGGCCGCCTGGGTGGCGCAGTCGGTTAAGCGTCCGACTTCAGCCAGGTCACGATCTCGCAGTCTGTGAGTTCGAGCCCCGCATCGGGCTCTGGGCTGATGGCTCAGAGCCTGGAGCCTGTTTCCGATTCTGTGTCTCCCTCTCTCTCTGCCCCTCCCCCGTTCATGCTCTGTCTCTCTCTGTCCCAAAAATAAATAAACGTTGAAAAAAAAAAAATTAAAAAAAAAAAAAATCTTCAAAAAAATCCCCAGTGGAGGGGTTGGGGGGATTCTTTCCCCATCCCACAATCTCTCAGAAGCTTCCTAATGGCGCACCATCTAACGTAAACTCAGTGGGGGTGGGGGGGGAGGGGCCTCTCCATCTCAGCCAACAACAGTGCTGAGAAACGTCTACTGGCTTCTTCCTGTTTCGCTCCAGGTAGTGGCCACTGAGTCCCAGGAAGGAAAGCTGCGGCGGCACACTGCACCCGTGAAGGGCGACGTGGCGGCTCCCAGCGTCAGGCACGTCATGACCGGAGTCACAGACATACACAGCGGCTGAGGTGCAGGACGGAAGGCAGTGCCAGAGAGGTGGGGGAGACGGGGCCTAGGAAGGAGGGACCCCAACACGAGGGAAGGAATCAGGGGGGCAGGAGGTAGAGGAAGAGGAGGTCCACCCTGGACCAGCTAGCCCCTTGCTATGGCACATCAAAATGCTCCGAAAAAGAACTGTTATTTTAACCACGGGAGTTCTTTCTTACGATTAGTAAAATATCTCTAAGAAACAGAAAAAAAGCATACCCTGAATATACACGGGACATCTCGGCGAGAAGCATGTATGACATCTGAGGCCAGGACCGAGCTCACCGAGAACTCCTCATCCCTGGTAAGAAACAGAACACTTGGAATATCAGAAAGAAACGTGCACACGGGCCGGTCCTCTGCCCTACTTATGGGAAAGGATACAGAATGTGAGGCGAGCCCCTTGCCTCCACCTGGGTAAGAAAGCACGCTGACAAAGCCAACAGATGACTCAAGGACCCTGCACGCGTTTCAGTGGTTAGGGACGTGAGAGAACAGAAGCTCCTTCCCTGGGTCACACCGTTCTCATCTGTGTCAGACGCCTCCAGTCACAGACACGTCACCGAACTGGCCCCTACTTGGCTATAATCAGGTGGCCGCTTGGTGATGGCCCCTAAGGAAGGGGGTGCAATGTGCCAAAGTGACTGCGGGAGGCCCGTGTCCGATACCCTCCGAGTCCTGGGCTCCACATCTAACACCAAGTCCCCGTGCCGCCTGCCAGCCAGCGGCCTCTTCGTCAAGAAGGCTGGGGCCCATCCGAGCCCAGTGACGGATGTGCAGTGGGGACCGCCACGGAGGTGACCCCGCTACGCTTCTGTCCCTGAAGCCGTCGTCAGGGCGCCTGCCGCAGCCCGCTGTCCCCAAGAACAGCTGGGGACAGAGGTGCCGGGCCCTAGCCCAGGGTGGGTGCCAACGGGCAGAGGGGACTCCGGGCCCTGGGCTGAGCGCGTCCCTTGTGCTGACTCCGCCCCGCCAGCCTCCCAGGTCTGATGCCAGGAGGGCCCGTGATGAGATGAGGTGTAGGAGAGGGTGTTGTGCGGCAAAGCCCAGGGCTCTAGATCACTGTCACAAAGGGTACTCTCGGGTTCTGACACCTTAGGCTGCACAGTGTGTCTCTGGGGTATGTTCTCCCTGCTCCTGGGACGTGTCATTTTCTTATGTTTTACAAACGCCTACCTGGCAAACCGTAGTGTGCAAAAATACCCAGGCTGCTACAGCACGCGCTCTACGTGCATACAATGTGCACGGATGCGAAGGTGTGACGGGGTTAAAGATCACCAAGCAGCACAGTAAGTCGGAACTCACACGATAGGACAGACCACACAGAACACGCACCTGAGGTCCAGGACCTGGCTGGCGACAACGCCAGGCTGGGTGGATTTTCCTTCGGGCAGGTCGTAGAGGAAGAGCTTGCAGTCACAGACCACCGCGTAAGCCCGCTGCCACCCCTTCTTCACCCCGGTAGGCTTTGGGACCTACAGGGAACAGTGGCCACATTCCAGTCCACGCAGCGGAGGCCGCGGCCCCGGGAGACGTCCCGCCCGTGGTTTCCTTCCAGCTGCCGAACGGCTGGCCCGCTCCTCCGGGGACAGCCCCCTCGTGCCCTTCCCAGGCTGGTGCCAGGGCCGGGTCCGGGCCCGGGCAGACTCAGGCACTACTGGGGAGGGATCCACACGTGATCCAAGGTGATGCACGGGCCAAAGCGGACGAGTCAGCAGACAGGCGTGTTCACAGCACACACAGCTGCGAGGCTGCGGCCGGAGGCTGTCCAGACACAGTGGTTTTCAGGCGGCACTTGGCCACGGAGCCCTGTCTTTAAATGCACGGCCCAGAAGGCGGGGACAAGGGGCTCTGGCAGACGGAGATGTTTCTGTGGGGTCCTCGGAACCCGGGCCCCAGTGCCTTAGCGCCCAGGAGGGGAGGCCTCCCAGGAGCAGCGCGAAGGTCACTTCACAAAGCAACCAAGGACAGCCCTCGGGAGCAGTGGGGTGCGGCTCTCGTGTCATGGCGCCCGAGGCCAGGAGAGCTGAGGCGGCGGAACCCGGGTCTCCGCGCGTCCTACCTTGACGTAGCCCTTGTAGGCCGTCCCTATGCCTCTCTGCACGTCCACGCCGAGCGGCCGCTTGGACTGCTCAGGAGGGATGGGGCACACCTGGGGAGCGCTGTCTCTGCAGGCCACGTGGCAAGCGAAGGAGCACACTGGAAAAGTGCAGGGGTGG